TCCTTTAATCCTCAGGGAATCATTGGGAGCTGCTTCCTCCTCAAAAGAATGGCTGCGTTGGCACAAGGTTTAATTGTGCAATTACAGTGTGCGTTCTTCTCCTGGGCTCTGCAGAGCAGGGCTCTGTGGCTGGAATGCTAATGGGAAAGACACTGATACCATCTCGTGGCACAGGCAGCCTCCCTCTAGGTACCTGCCTCCATGGTCTGTCTAAGGCTTCTCAGGCAGGAAATCAAAGATGGGAATTGCAGCTGAGCAAGGGCTGGAATTTGGGCTGGAGCCCAAAATTATGGCCCCTGTTGGTTTGTTGTAGCTGCCCTTGGTGGAAGCAGGAGGTTCCAGTGCCCAGTCCTTGCTTGGCATTGTCTGTGGGTTGTGGCTGGCAGGTACCAGCTGGGGCTCTGCTCAGGCTCCCTGTCTGTGAGCTGAAAATATGCCTGGAAATATGCCTGCAAATGCCTGGCCAGTGGCCTCTCCTGGTGCACTGCCTGGTGCCTACATGCTGCACATGCCTTTCTGGGATTGAGTGTTTCATGGAAGTTTTGCTCAAAGTATTGCTTCAAAGCTACTGTGAAATGCTCTGCACGTGTATTTGTACCTATGTATGTACCTAGACACATCCCCACATTCTTTTTTGGCCAGGCCCTGCTTTCCAAGAGCTTCACTTGCTCTAAAGTTTGCCAGGTTTTTCAGATGCTGCATGTGTGCCACCTCTGACTTCGGGGCAGGTGACAGGAGTTAGAGAGCCCTGTGTTACTGCCTTGCTGTGTTACTGTCGTGTCTTGGTTCAGAAACTGAATTAATTGCATTCATTTGGCTCATACTAATTGACATTGATGGGAGGAAGTTGTGAAGGAACATGGATTAGCTCCTCACTTTGCTGCCCTTGGGAGGTGAAGGTTGGGATTTACCTGCCAGTAAATAGAGGGGCTGGTTAAGTGTTAGATGGGAAGAAATGCAACCCTCCTCCAGCTGGCTTTGGATCCTAGGATTTTTTTTGAGGGTCAGTCTGTTTTCCAGAACATTACTATTAATGGTTTCAACATAAATTCTGCTTTCCCACCAGCATTTAGGATGGAGTTTCCATATGGGTAATCTTAGCTGCCAGCCACTTGTCCCTTCTCCATGGCCACAGGCTACCTAGTGAGCCTTGCACTGGGCCACACCATGAGTCCTGTGCAAGTGGTCATCCCACTTTTTGAAACCCTTTAAAACTCTTTAAAATAATTCTTTAAATGCATCCACCACATTTTACCTATTGGCTTCAGGAAAGTGAAAAGGAGAGGCTTTTGTTAGGGTATTAAGCAGTTCTTGGCTGATGTTACAGGCTCCTGGCCTCCAGGTCCCTCTGCTCATGTTCTCTTCCTGTTTCTCTGAAAATTTTAAGTCAGGACAAGCTGCAGCTAGTCATGTTGGCAAAAACTAGTCCTCCTTGACCCTAGCTCCTCCTAGTCCTAGATTCAAGTGTTTGCTCCCTGCAGCCAAAATGTTTGCATCCTCCTGAAAGCAGGAGATTGGGATACATCAGTCCCATGCAGGACAAGAAAATGCACTTTATTCCTCTGCTTCATGGCAAGGCTGTAAAAAACAAAAAGAATAGTGGGCAGCTGTGGTTTTAGCTGACAGCTGAAAGGGGCTTTGCTAGCAGAAGTCCCCAGGGAAGACCAAGGAGGCTGCTGACAAAAAGTCAGGAAGGGGCTCTCTCCACAGATTAAAAAGCAGAAGAATTATAAATAACATGCTGAAGTATAAAGTTACCCAAGTTATTTTGACCATAAAGCCCAGGACAGTAAAGGCCCTTAATCTCTCATTAATCAACAAGAAGCTGGAAGAGGCCATACAATGAGCTCAGCTGCCAAAGCTGCTGTGCCCTTTTGCTCCATTTAATTTAATTGTATTAGTCCTGCCCGCAGCCTTTGTTCTTCTGCCCTGCTCAGGAAATCTGCTGCTGGGTTTGGCAGGGCTCACTCTGGTTCCACATGCCTGGTTTGTGGACAGCCAGGAGGGATGAGAGGGAGAGCAGGAAAGGGAAGAGGATGGGAAAAGGTCCCATGGGAGCAACCTGCTTGATGTACTTCATTTATCTTAATAGTGCCACTGCATCCCTTCCTGGTGAGGCTTCTTCCTGATAAGCCAAACACAAAACTGAATGCAAAAGGACTCTGGCTGATATTTTATTTTAAAATAAAAAAACAGATGAGTGACCACAAGCCAGCTTTTGTTCAGCAGGTGCTACCAACCTAGCAAAGTATTCCTACCACCACTTTCCTTGGTTCCACTTCATCTCTCTCAAATGAGCCAACAAACAAATGCAATAGGTGGTTTCCAGGACACAGGTGAGTTTTGTCAAATTTTAGCATTTGTCCCTGCTGAAGGATGAGATAGCAGAGCAGCTGACTGGAGAGTGTACCTTTCTCACTTCTCCATCAAGGAATGACAATGCTTAATGTGTGGAAAAAGATGAAGCACTTACAGAAAGATGTGCTTAGGAAAAGAGATTTTCAGATGACTTTGCTTCAGGCTTGTGTAGGAAACACTGTTTTAAGCTCCATATCTTACTGGATTTCTCTGATTTCAGCAACCAGCTGTATGAAATTCCACAAATTTGTTATATCAAACCCAAGTTTTCCCAAACATGTCAATTGTGAAGGTTCTCCTCTCCCTTTCACAGAAGTGAATTAACAGTCCTATGCCTGCAGTGAAGCAAGCACAGGGCAATGTTTGCTTATGGTTTTACAGAGTGATTCTTTTGTCATTGCTTACTGTAATTCTTCTTGGATGCGAAGAGTAAAACATATTTACATTGGTATGTGGGATTCTGGACAACCTCAGGAAAAAGTAGAGCTGGAAAGGAAGTTCTTCTGGCTGATAAAGAAATTTGAGATGTGTTTTTTTACATATCAGAATGAAAGCTTGAAATAGAGAAACTCCCAGCAAAAAAAAAAAAATCACAACCCCCACCCCCATACATTTAGCTAGCTGCAGCTACTTATTTCAGTTATTTTATCCTTTTTATTTTCTTCTCCCAGGAAAAAAAAAAAATCTCAACCCCCACCCCCATACATTTAGCCAGCTGCAGCTACTTATTTCGGTTATTTTATCCTTTTTATTTTCTCAGTAAATTTAATTTATGTTGCAATGCAAAGTAGAAATTCTGGATGTCTCAGATAAAAAAAATTTGTCCAGTTGATTTCAGTAGTTTGGGAACTGCTTGGCATATATTTTTAATTTAGAAAGTGGCAATCTGCTGCACTAAAAATGAAAAGTAATGATCCGGTAAATGACTAATTTTGTGGTCTGAGTTAATTAGTCAAGCAGCTTGACGGATAGAAGGCAGCAGGTCTAAATTACTGTGCTAAGTCCTTTTGCAGAAAGATATTATCTGGCTTTGTTGTTTTAATAATAATTAATGAGAATTAACATATTCAGCTGGGATTTTGCTGTTACTATTAGCAGGAATATGTGTGTGTATATATGTATATTTATATTTGTTCTGTGATGCTTTTCTTGCTTGTTTGCATCCCAGTCCTTGACTGTCTTGCTCTGTGGCTTAAATAATACTCCAGAAATTATTCAGACTGCACCTTTGTCTAGCATGGAGGAAACTCGATGCTTTTACAATTGGTGCTGCTGGTTATTTAATGAAAAACATGCACTGTAGCCTGACAAGGAAATCTGCAGTAAAAAACCAGGCAATAAGCAGTGTCTCATCAGCAGGATCACAGGGAGCATCAGCTGGGGGCTCACAGCTCACTTTTACATCTTATTTGTGGCAGCACAGGTTGCTGGCAATGCAGGGATGGCACACTCGCCTCCAAGTCTGCATGGATCTGCAAAACTACAAAGCCTTCTCTGGTGAAATCCAGGCATTACTCTGCTGAAGTCAAAATGCTTAAATTTGGATGCCTCCAAGGCACCGTGGTGGTCACTTCGTCTTGTAGCCTACATGACACCAGTCTTGGTGTTTCTGCTGGCCATTTCCACCCCAAACCTGCTTCCTGTGGTTGGTTTTAAGCCCATGTTTTAGGAAACCCTACAACTAACTGGGTTCTCATGATGGGGGAGACTTTTAATGAGCTGGTTTAGTGGATAATTGCTCTCACTGTTAAAACAAGCTTCTTTCTTTGTTTTCAGCTTGACTTCCCTCAGTTTCAGGCTTCCAGGCCTGGACTTTGCTCTACTGCCTTTGTTAAAATTAAAGCCCTCTGGAGTGTGGAATCTTCCCACATACCCTGAAACACTAGGAAGAGTAATTTCCTAATCTTCTCTTAAGAGGACAGTGATAACTGGGGACTAATTATGGCTCTATTGACTTTTTCATATTTGTGTTTTTTAGATAAGTTGTAATTGTTCCTTTTTATTATTGTATAGCTATAGTTAATAATTTCTGTTCACTGTGCCTACACCCAAGGATGTGGCCCTACTTCTGTTAAAGATTCACTGTTTGGCATTCTGAGAGATAGTTTTTATTTTAATGCCCCCTTTTCAAATGGTATCATCTCTCTAGTGGGTTTAGTTCTGCTTGTAGGTCATATTCTACCATCCTTAATCAACTTGATTACTTTCCTTAAGTTCATTCTATTTCACTGAGAAATTTCAAGGAGTGAGATGATACTTACACTAATGAAATTGGGGATTAGACAGGGATTAGATGGATTCTAACAGCAGATGCTGTGCTTTCTGTGGGAGGATTTCGAAGCTTCATTAAACCAAGAAAAGCTCCTTTCCCCTGACACTTTGAGATGTAAAAGCATTGTATTATATCCTATTATTAATAAAATTATAAACTATCTTGATAAAAATAGCTGTCTTTTGGTAAAATTTCAAACTGTGGTCATACCCAAACCATCCATGAAAGGATGTGAGTTCTTTCAATGCCGTACATACTGTGACTTGAAAGGGAATTGCTCCTCATCAAATGCCCAAGCCTTTGCACGATGGAGGTATAAATACCTTGTTGATGGTATTTATCCAGTTATCTGTATTTTTTCTGTTTGCAGTGTTTATGTTCCTGTATACGTTGGGCTGGTGGGAAGTCTCATCAATACCCTGATAGCAGTGATTTGGATCCCTTCTCAGTCTAAACCAAAGTCAGACCATCACGTGACAGAGCACAGTGAGTATTTTGTGTTTCTGAAAAACAGTACATGAAAAGGGGCAGGGGATTGACATGCTGCAAGAACTGCTGGAGGACCTTGGAGTTGCATTTAAGGGCAAAAAGTTCCCAGCCTTGAGATGCTGACACTTCAATGTCTAAGCTGAGCTTATGGAAGAGGATTATTCCAAATATATTGATCACTCTGCCATGTAGAATTGCACTCTTCCAGTCTCAGAAGAGGTGATTGTGGAGGCCTTGCTGGGGGTTAGTTTGGTCTGACAGGAGAGGAAACCCCACTGTCTCAGAGGGTTCCTCTGCATGCAGACCTGGCACCAGCTGCCAACCTCCTGCCACTGGCACGAAGATGGTGCAGCAGAGATGTGGTTTTGGGGTGGTTTTTGAACCTGAGCAGAGTCTCAGAGTTTCCTGCTTTCTACCCTTAACCTGTATAAAAAGAATATTAACTCATATGTCATCCTCTGCAGGCACATCACAGTCTGGCAGCTTGTTTAGCATCAGAGAAATCCTGCGCCTGATGAAGTTTCCGGGAGTAATGGAAGTTTTCATAGTCAAGGTCTTTGCTGGACTTCCCATAGGTAAATCTCACCCATTGTCCATGATTGCTGATGCATTTAGAATAGGATGATGTACACTGTAGGCCAGGCTTGTCTCAAGTTACTGGAAGCACATTGCTTTTGATCACAGAGCAGTGAGGATTCACCTCCTAACTTGGTGCTGGATGCTTTCAGGCAGTCTCAGCTACACAGGGTCAAAAGCCAGGGATTGGACTTAATGTCCAACACACTACTTGTCATAAGCTGCATCTGGGACTTTTGGCAAATCATCTCTCCATCCCCCTCACTGCAAATGTTTTTTCCTCTTGTCTGTCATTTCTCTTGGGGCTGTAGGCTCTTCAGAGCAGAAGAAAATTGTTTGTCGTCTGTCAGAAAAACTGAAGTTCTTCCTGATTTTACTTAGCATTTTTAAGGTGTATCCTAACCTTTTTCCCAGCAATTAAAAATTGTTGAGGGATGAGAGGGCCAAGTTGCACACAGGGGACCCCCACAGCATGTGTCTTCCCTTTCACATTGATGGGGATGCTTGTTCTTCTCTTCCTTATATACTCTGCAGGGGGTTTTTTTTGTGTCATGGTAGGAACTCGGTGAGCCCTCAAACCTTTTCCAAACCCATCTCTTTCCCTGCTTCCTCTGAGTCAGTTGCTGTCTGGCAGGATTCATATCTCCCTATTTACCTAACTATGTATCCCTGGGCACAATTTAATAATCTTCAATTTTGCCTACCCTCCAACTTCTTTCTCCACACACTTGACTAGAGACAAGCTGAATGTCATCCTCATCAGTGATGTGTAAGGACAGGGTGATGTTATCTGCCCTTCCACATACAAAGCCTTCACGGCTCTTTTCCCAGTCAAACCCAAAAGGTCCAGTTTCTCTTGATGATGATTTCAAGAACTGAGCTTTGTGCACATCATAACACAGGTGTATCATGGATCTTTTAGACTTTGCATCTTTTTCCAATTCATTTCTGTCTGGAGAAGCCCTTGAAGTTTAAAAAACACAAAACATGATTTACAAATTAAATGCTAATTTGTAAAGTGTAAATTCATTTTACAAATGAAAGTAAATTTGGCTGTGAAGTGTGGCTGAATTGGAAGGGGATGGCATTCCTGGGCTTGGTCAGGCTCATCTGTTATTTCTTGCTATATCTCATGGGGAATGAGTCCAACTGGAGCTGGAAGTAAACGATTTCTGGGCTTTTTTTCCCTGTGTGTAGCTGGTGCTGGCTGAGATCAGTAATGCCAGCTGGTCCTACCCCTGTCCCTAGGGACAGGATAGAGTCTCAAACCACTGTTGGCTCTACCTAGCAGTGCAATTTTTTTGGTTCTTAAGAAAATAAACTTCTAAAACTGCATTCCAAAAAGTGTATAAACTGACAGCATTTCACAGAATGAGAAGGATGTTTAAATGAGTTTTCTTAGATGATTCTGACTCATTTCTCATCTGAAAGTAGCATTCATTCCTCTGTTAAAAATGCCTGAGACTGCATCCATGTGAGCTTCCCACAGTAATTTCCTGTGTGCTCTCTCTTTTCCAAAGGCCAGGCAAAATGCACTTTGCATTAGACATTCCTGCCGAAATGTAAATTCCTGCCTGTTACAGAATCCATTCTTTCCCTGTGCAAAGCAAAAATGCTCACTGAATTAAAATAAACATCTCCTGCCCAAAACTGCTAGGCAGTTTCTAGGCAAAGAGGATGGAGACAGTGAAGCTGGGATTTAAGGCAGGCACTGGGATTTAAGGCACTGTCACTGAAATACTGGGAATATTTCTGTAAGGGTAGGAGAAGGTTCACTTGAGGCATTCCTGCTACTTGTGAGGAGTAATTAAAATCTCAGTGACTTCTCTTTGCAAGTCTCCCTTCACTTCAGGTCACTGACCAAACTGCTGGCAGCTGAAAGGGGATCTGGCCATCACTAATGCTCTGCACCTCACAGCTGGAGGCTGAGCTCCTCATGAGCTCATTTACCTTTCATCCCCAGGCTGCAACTGTATCATTAATTAGATTGCCCAAATTACAGACCATTTTCTATTTACTTTGTAAACAAGTCTTGATACTACAGCAAAGAAAATCTTTTGTTCCTTATGGATCTCATTGTTGTCTAAAATTAGCTCATTTGATGCTGAAAGCACCTCCCCGGGAGGGCTGCAGGGCTGGGAACATCCTCCCTGTGTTGCATAAAAGCAGAGATGTGGGCTCTGTGCCTCTTGCAGGAAAGGAGCTGCCAGGGATTGGACAGGCAGCAGACAGCTCCAGCACAGCCGAGTTATCTTCTCAGCTGACCTGGGAAAAGAGAGCCTCACTGCATTGTGGTAGATAAGAGACAGAAATAAAAAAACAAGAGGATAAAAATATCAAACGTAACTCTCATTGACAAGAAATCACCAGGGCCTTGAAAATGTTGATAAATAGATGCTTCTATGAACCTTTGGCTGCCTAATCCCTTTGGAAAATCTGGTTTCAGCATGATTGCTTTAGCACCTGCATCCCGTTTTTTAGATTTTCTTTCACATGTTGAGCAGTGTTTTGCAGTGAGCCTTGGGGCTCTGCATCCCATCACATTTCCAGTCCAGCGTAGGAGGGCTGGGATGAGCTCCCAGAGGCTGTGCTTGCCTTCTCACACCACCTTGCAGTAGGGATTGCTAAACTGGCCCTCCAAAACTACAGGCTGCTTTCAGACGTGCCACATATTTTTTCTTTTTATTTTTGGTGCCTTTTTTTTTTTGGGGGGGGGGGTTTTTGAAAATAGGGTTTGCTCTCCTGATTTTCCCTGGTGCTTTTTGTCATTGGTGCTGCATCTCACAAACCATTGCCCTGCTTTCTGCTGCATAACTTTTATTATTCATCCCACTAATGCCAGGTTTTCTAAGGAGCTCACCCTTTTCTTAAACATCCTCAAAAAGGCAGGTTTCTGAGGGTATTTTATGCTATTTTCCTCCCCCCCCACCATTGAGCCTGTCAGCCTGGACTGAGGCTTATAATTATCTATGTGCTGCACTCAGCTGACCTGGAGCCTACCCAGCTGGGAACCTACTGAGATCTTTGTAAGAAATGCTTGTTCCAAAGCATAACATCTTTATTTAGTTCAGTCTGAGGCTTGCCTTGTGGGTTTCATCAAGAAATGTGTTACCAGTGGGAGAGAGACTACCTTAGTTTCTGAGAGAAGAGGGGCAAAGGGGATCTTCCTCCTGCAGGTGTCTTTAAGGGACCATGCAGGCACAGGGGGTGACACCCATCTGAAAATGAGACCTTTGCACCTCCAGGGGAGCCTGCAATGTATAATTCCAATTAAAGAGCACAGCCTGTTCCCCTGCTGCAAAAGAAAGCAGCTTGTTTGGAGGAGAAAGATCCAAATCTGTCTTAACATGATGAGGGACTTCAAAGGGGAGAGGAGCTGTAGAAGCTGGAGCACAGTACCAGGAAGAAGCATCGGGTATGTAGGGAGGCCAAGCCCCTCCTAGGTGGTACCTGCAGTGGGGTGCAGGATGAGGGGTGAGCTCCTGCATCCATCTAATCTTCCTACAAGTGAAACCAAGTGTGGTTTTTCTTTCATTTCATCACGTGTGCCTTTTATAAACATATGCAACCCTGCTGCCTGATTTGGTTGTTGTGAGTAAATACTGGTATTTGCATGTTACCTTAAGCTGGCTTGAGCTGAGAGCAGTTTCAAAGTAACTGGATAACAACGGGTTCTCTCTGTGGAGGAGTGTGGCAAAGCCATAGATCTTCATGAGCTCCAGCTCCCAGGCACCTTCTCCACAAAGCTGGAGAGAAGAGCAGGGTGCCCTTCCTGCCCCCCATGCCTCTCTCCCAACCCCATGGAGCCAGCGGGGGTGCAGCTACTCCTGTTAAGGTGGGGTTCAGGAAGGCTTTGTGGCAGGTCCTGGGATGGGAGGGTGGTGCTCCCTCCAAGGAAAAGGCTTGGGGTGCCTGGAGGCAGGTCCTTGTTGCTGCAGGTGCTGCACTGGTGGCGCTGGGGTTGGGCTGCTGGATGCAGTGGAGTTGTTCTTGTTTGTTAGGAAGCGAGTCCTCCACGGTGTTTTAACCAACAATCTGGAATCACCCTCTTCATCCTTCCAGGAAAAGCTGGCAAATCCTCCCCATGCCATGTCATTTTTCCAGGCCAACAGCTGTCTTCTCAGTCCTCACACATTGCCTCCTGCATTCTGTTTTTCTCAGGAAGGAGAGGAACAGGGCTTCCTTTCTACCCAGTCTTTACAACTCAGAGGATCTTACAAGGAAAGGCAGGACTGCTAAAAGTCATCTGGTCTCTTCTCTCCCAGAAGGATCAGCGATCTCTGACAGGCACATCGTGGGGTTCTTCTCACACAGAGAGCCCCAAGTTCCTACTGACTTGGTCCATCTCAGGTGCACAAGGGGAAGCAGCAGACTCCTACCCCACACCACACTTGAAGTGCAGTGTTTTGACATAATATTTTTAATTTCATGGCTCTCTCTAGAGATTGGGAGCATGTGCAAGCTCGCCTGTATTTGTGTATGTTTGGCAGTGGGGAAAACACACACTATTGTATTTTCATTTGCGATTGAGTGGATGTTCTCTGTTACACTTTCCAGAAATTGCCTCAATTGAAAAGCAGCCCTGGTCTATGCTCTTTCTGTCCACACTTTCCTGACTGCTAGTGTTGACATTGCTATCAGTCCTCACAAGAGATTTTTCACATTCCCTGGACATCATTGCTGAGGTGTGCAGTGAAACTACTGCATTTTGGCTGATGTCACTGGGCTGTTCCCCACAGAGAATATCTGAAGTCAGGCAAAAGGGGTGAGGAATCCAATCAGATTATTTTTATGGTTACAGTCTTGTCTGAACAAATGTTTTCTTGCTGTCTTAGTGGTTAGCCTGGCTTCAGTGATACAAATATTTACCAGTTTATAATTAACAGCTGAAACTACAGCCTACATAGTCACATTACTTAAAGATGAAAGTAAGGGGGATAAAAAAGTTAACATTTAAAGATTAAATTACTACAATGACTTTGAATAGGATTGTGCTCATGTTTACACCCAGTTCTGGCAAACCCAGGGAGAGCTACTGACTTGTACTGGTGGTGACTGGGAGCAGGGCTATTACATGCACTGCAAGTGTATTGATGTACTCTTTGCATTAACCCTCCCTCCAGGTTTGTTCATGATTATGTTTTCCATCATCTCTATGGATTTCTTTGGCTTGGAAGCAGTGGAGTCTGGATATCTGATGTCATATTTTGGTGTCCTTCAAATGGTAAGTGAGGTGCAAGTCCCCCTCTTAGACAGATTAGCTTGCCACACTGCTACCTAATTCACTACCTTCTGTACACATGCTCTTCCAAATCCAGGTGCATTATTGACAGGCAAATCCTAGCTCTGCCATATGGAATTTAGCTTCAAAAAGAGAAGTGACTCCAAATTTATTCTGTTCCTTGGAATGGGAAGAAATTGGAACAAGGAGTGTCCTGAAAGCTTTCTTCCCCTTGTCCCTCTCTGTGGATCTTTAAGCTGTAGAGCTAAAATTTCCTTGGACTGATATGTCCTGGGTTTTGTAATAAAACTTACATTGAAGCTAAAGTGCCTTGGCTGAGGTTTTTCCTGGTGCAGGTTAGTTGATTTGCATTTTACAGTAGCACCCAGTACTCTCAGGAAAGCAGACAACCTTACTGGTGTTTTCATTGAAGATCCCTTCAGTGTAGAAGAACTTGTTTCTGCTGTGTGGAAACAAGCACAGCAAGCTTGTGATTCCAAAAAAAAAAAAAAAAAAGGAACAAAAAAGAAACAAAAAAACACCCCAACAACAAAGCACAGAAAGGTGGGTGACAGAACATGGTTAGGAGACTAGCAAAATGGGTAAAAGGAAAAAGTCAGCTGAATTAAGCAGTAATAGGGTCAAGAAAGTGCAGTGTTGTGTTATAGCAGAGTGTTCCTTTTGGAGGAAGAGGCTTAATGATTTTGCAGAAAAAGGAGCAGATGGTTATAACCAAGCCCCAAGGCAGGAATGCAAGTTAAGCAATATCCTGAAGGAGAGTGGTCTTGTTATTAAATCCTCTTCATTTCCTGGGTATTGCCACAGAATTCCTGTGGGAGCTTCTCATTTGGGGAATGGCAGCTTAAGCTGTTTCCTTTGTGATTTGGATGGTGTTGCCAGTCACTTGTGCTCTGGCCTGGTCTCACCAAATCTGGGCATCTTGGTAGAGCAGCAGACAGGCATGGCTGTACATCAGCAGCTGGATTCTGCAGTGTAAACTGGCTGGAGCTGAGCAGATGGTGCCTTTGCCATGCCCCTCCTGTGAGGTGGCTTTGGACTAGTTGTCTCTTGGTCCTGTGGACATCTCCAACCTGCTGAATGCAGTCCCATTCAGCCTCTTTGGAAAGAAGACCAGTTTGCCAGTGCACAGTATGGAAACATACTGTGTGAAAAGTGGGGTGATCAGCAGCTGCTTTCCAAAGCAAACTTCTGATCCAAACTCCACTGCTTTCAGAGGCTTTCCCTATGTTAGCCTTATGTGCTGCCTCCTAGACCAGGATCTGCAGGAATCACTCGGGTTTTAGAGGAGCCAAGTCACTGACCCATATCTTCCTCCCCATTTGAATACAGAAGGACTCCCCACAGCTGGGCTTTTAACTCAAGACATACCAGTTACATAGGCAGAAATAAAATCTGGAGTTGCAGCATGGCTGTGGTATGCTTGTTTAGAGCTGGGCAACGTGGGCAGCAAGAGCTCTTGTAAGGAGTGCCTTTGTGTGGCTAGATGGAGCCTAGACTCTGCTGCTGGGTCCAGGATATCTGTCTTGAGGACACTGCTGTTATGTCTGGAATATCTGTCTGCCTTCAGTGCCATTGTTCCCCAGGTTAGTTTGGTTGAAACTGCTGTAGATAAGGTTACCTCCTCTGCCCTGCTGGGGTACCCCACACAGAGACACGGCCCTGGAAGATATGGGAATTACAGCATCCACTCTGCTTCCTCAGGGATGGTCAGATGCCAGGGCTAACCAGGGACCTGACCCTTCCCAGAGTCACCAAGTTTCATCCCACAGAGGCCAATCATTCCTATTGCCACAATCCAGCCCAGCAGGGCCCTGCAGGCTGAGGTGCAGCATCTACTCTGCTGGGGAGTCTTTGCCTTGGGACATTGGACACAGAAACTGGCTTTTATCAGCCAGGCAGTTTTCTTTCATACATCCATGCAGTTTCTATCCATATTGCTAAGCCTATCCTACAGCGGCAATTCCAAACTCTACTCTGGTTTATGCAGAACAAGATCCTCAACTGGACCAAACTGAACTCTCACTCTCAGCCTGGCTTTTAAATTACTGTAAAACATTAGATTTCATGTCTTTGCTTTCAGGTACCTGTCTAGAACCACCCAAAGATATCTTTTGTGTATGGTGTCTGGGTTAATGTTTTATGGCTGCTTTCTGTTTGGGTTGCTCTAGCAGGCAGGGAATAGAGTGTGCTGGCTCTGTCCTGCTGAGCCCCAGAGCTGCTTGTGTTGCCTAAGCTGGCATTTCAGATTCATTTGTTTCTGCTGTATAGTGAATTGATACTGCTGAGATACAAATGCAGATTAAGGTGCAAGTGAATTCCACCAATCTGGATAGGTGAACGATGATTAATATCTGCTGACTGGCTTCCCCACTTCACTGAGTAAATGACAGCTTTATTCATAAGGAATACAATGTAATTTTCAGTGAATTTCATCAGCCAGATACTGAGCTTTGATTTTTTTTTTTCGTTAGTTTGCCCTTCTGTAAATCATTGTGAGGTTTTTCCCATCCTCTTGGACTTGCCCTGGGCCCTTCTGTTAGAGGAAACCTGTCCCCCATGTTTGCATCTCTTCCTGGACTTGAAAAAGATAGTGTTTAAGGACTTTTATAGCCAGAAGGGGACATTAAAGAAATTAAGGGGGAAATTATTTCTTGGTGTTATTGTAGTTTCTAATTTTTAAATTAAATATTCTCAAAACTTACATATTCCTCTTATGGAAGGCAATGTTGCAGCTCCCTTTCCCAGCCTGATCAGCAATCCCAGGATGACTCAAATACTGATGGTGTCTTCCTGCCTTCCTCTCCCACCCCAAGGATATTATGCTCCAGTTGCTTAATCTAGTTTTTCAGCTTCCCAACCTCATTTGACCTGCTGTGGTGAGAAGTGGCCAATGCACTGTAAGAATCTGTTTCTCCTCATTCCTCTCATTCAAGCCAGCTGCAGAGTACCTAGAGTGGAGATTTTGAGAGGCTTTGAGTCAGTCCACCTCATTTTAAGTAGGCAACTCAAATTCTTTGTCATTGCTATTCCAAACAGCTCTTTGCATGGGGAATCAGCACAGAAACACAGACCCTCTAGGAGGTGAGGTGTTTGCCCTCTCTGCAGATGGAGGAGTTTAGTTTAGACACACCACTAATTCAGGCATCACTGAGGGATCCCATCCAGAGCTCCTCAGCCTCATCCTGTGGTGAGCATCATCTAACAGCAGGGGATATGGGAAAGTTTGGGCAGGGTGAAGTGCAGTGAGGGTGGGAAGGGGGCTCGTGTCTGGGTCAGGACACAGCCAGGCAAGGTCAGGAAAGGGGGTGTGGGAAGGCAGTGAGACAGCATTGAGGCAAAGAACTGTCTGATGAGGAAACAGAGTTGTGGCTCAGAAAATGGAATATGACCAAGGCTGGAATGGACTGCTGGGGAAATGAAAGTAGCACATGGGGGTGATTCAAGCAATCCAGGTCTCTGCAGTGATTCTTGAAGCACCCTGAAAGTGTGGGGCTGTCTGATGAGCTGGGACTGTGCCAGGTGAAGAGAAGTTGTGTGGGAGATAACGAAATGAGGAGAGGCGGGCAGACAGCAGGGGAGCTGCCTCTGCACCAGGCAGCCTGCACTGCAGAGATTCCCTTGCTCATGATGTGCTTGAAGCATCTTTATCTGATCACTGGTAGGTCTCCAGGCAAGAGTTATGAGAGCCCGTCAGGGACAGAATCCCTCTGTCCTCCAGGGCTGGGCTTCCAGAGCCCTCTCATCTGAGAAGCCATGCAAATGACATTTCCCTCATAGTGAATGCCTGGCAGTGTGAAATGCCATTCAGTCTCTCTCCAGAGAATAATTAATTTCATAATGATTTTAAATTATTTCATTTTGAGTAATAGGCAAAAATGAACCTAGACTCTTTTTTTTTTTTTGGGTTTGCAAGTGTGATAGCATAGACACCTTCCAGGTGTAGTATGTGGCTTGGAAAATGCTGCTGGAGGATTAGGCAAGTGAAATACCTGGAGTCCCCAGTTGATATCTGAAGTCACATCTGATGCTTAGATTTCAAACCATGGGAGGGGGTGGGGGAAACTTTCCTTTCAGAACTTTTGCTCAGAAAAAAAAAAAAGAAACCAAAGCAAAATGCACCAAACAAAACTCTGGGTGGGACAAAGGGGTATATATTTATAACCCTGAGGATCAAGAAATCATAAGACATCTGTTCTATTTACTGCATTTAAATTTGTATTGTTATACAAACTCCACCTCTAGCTGTGCAGCTTCTGGAGGGACAAGTTGGTACGGAGTGATCCTGAAAAGATGAGAGAGATTCCTGGAGGAGAGATTTACATTGCGTATCATCTTATCACCAGTCTGTCCCTCTCGCTTTTTTTTCTCCCTACACAGCAAAAGAGATGATTAAAGAGCCGGGGATTTAATTACAGCCAGGTATGCCTAGGGGGAAAACCCACTTAGTGAAAGGACCTTGCAACAACAAACAGAAAGTTCTCCAGTTTCCTCGCTTTGAAGGATTTATATCTGTTGAGGGGGGTGGGTTGGAGGGGAAAAGAAAGTGATTAGGCTGGAGTTTGCAAAACACACCGTCCTCTTCCCCCTGCTTGGCAAAGTGCTGCCTTCAGCAGTCTGGTCCTCACCATCAGCCCTCCTTCCAGTCCCACCGTCCCCCACAAGACCTGAACTGCTCAAGCGCTTTCTGGCATGGCTGTGTCAGTAAAGCAGCTCCCTTTTCCCCAGCACGGGCTTTGCGCCGCGCTCAGCCTGGGCAGAAGAGCCCCGTGGGCTGTGCTGACCCCCGTGGTCTGCCCCAGCAGGTCCCTCCCGGCCTGGCCCGCCTGGGAACTGCCAGCCGGCACAATTTCAAAGGCGAGATACGGGTCCAGGGCGTGGGAGGCAGCTTCTGATGTGAATCATGCTATCTCTGCTAGGGATGGGGCCCTGCATCTCCTCTGCGAGGCTGTACCAGCTTATCTGGCCTGCTGTGTCTGCCTTTCCGACCTCTGCAGCTTTCCATTTCCAAGCTGTCAGGTGAAAGGCAACTGATTTTGTTGCTGGGCTCTGTCAAGCTTTCAATCCGTGCTGATGGAGGAATCTTCAGCAACAGTCCCACATCCTCTGAGCTCAGAGGAGCAGCTGAGCATCTGCACAACTCCTCTGACCTCCCCAGGTGAGGTCAGCTTCTTGCAGGTGCCAGTCAGCTCAGCAGCAGCTCCGTGCAGCAAGGCTGGTGCTTCAAAAGTCTTCCAAAAACTAGCACCTTGGACTTTCAAATACAATCTTTTCCATCCTGCAAGAAGAGGTTCCTGAAATGTGTTAGAGGTTAACAGTCAAATGGGTAATTGGCCTTTCTGAGCAAATGGGAGCAGCTGTTTTCCCAGAAACCAAATGCAGTGATAGAGGCAAGAGAGTATTTTTCCATGTGATTTGCTGGACTAGTGTAACAAATCCCCAGCTTGCTGAATGCAGAAAATGATGAACAGAGATTTGGCTGTTCTTATGCATTTATTGGGAGACTTATTTGCCTTTAAAGAAGGAGAGGGGGGCGGAAAAAAAGATGAGTTGGTTTTTCCTGTGACATATGTACACAGCCACAGGCAGTGCCTGTTATTTCACTTGCAAACAATTTCCTCTCTCTTTTGTTTATTGATGGCAGAAGGCATTCCAGCCAGGTACACTGGCTCTTCCCCGACTTCAAAGGAGGTCAGGTTACAAAGGCAAGCACCATCCAAGTAAAATGAAATGCAGGAGGGTAAGGCCCATTGCAGTTGATCTCAAGGGGAGTTTATGTGCAAGAAGAAAGCTCAGAACACACCAGTAAGAATAAAAAGAAGGATAAATTCCATTTATCAGCTACCAGAGCTTGTCCATGGTAGTGGTGATGGCCAAGTCACCTGGGATGTCCCCATTACCTTCTGGTAAACCAGCAGCACATGTCCAAACTGACATGGGAGAGTGCACATGAGCCACCTTTCACCTTCCCAGATGTGCCTGTGCAGGCAGGTGCTGCTCATGCCAGCCCAGGAGCTCAGGGAAAATTGCAGACTGGAAGTAATGGGTTTTCAGGTCTAAATTCAGACTGGAAAGTGAGGTCAGACTTACTGGTGACTGGAAATATTATCTAGTGCCTAAATCAAGGCTCTGTGTCCAAAATCAGGATGATGGGCCTTGTCTGCCTGGGTTTCATGGCTGGATCAGCAGTGCCCTTGCTGGGGAGGAAGGCAGGCAGCCCAGATAGCCCGTGGGGGGACTGCCATCTAAGGATTGCTGCCCAGCCCCAAGGGGAAAGCAGGTGACTTGGGCTCATTCTTGCCCTTGGAAATAGTCCCCTTGCCAAGCTGGTTGATTCAGCAGTGATGTTTTACCTTGAGCTTTTTATTGCCACAGTCCAAGTGGTGGGAAAGCCCATGGGGAATGGCAGCATTGGCACGAGGACAATCCCTCTGCTCTGCTGACCCTGAGGACAGCTCATTCTGCACATCTCCAGGTCCTGCCTGCTCAGAGCCTGTCTCTGCTGCAGTGGTGCTTGTTGCCTTCACGCAGGGGCTTGTGTGCAGTGATGGCAACGTTTTTGGGAATGCCACTCCCATGGCCATCAGAGCAGGGACGTTGCTGATGCTATACCCTAATGACTCAAGGGAGGGCAGGGACTGGGCTGTGCCTGCACGGTGTATCCCAATAAAATATGCCATTCAAGTCTGGGCAAATTGGGAAATGTTTCCTTTCCTCCAATGGCTCAGCAGAGCCAAACTGGGGTTCGGGTGATGCCATCCTTGAGTCAATCCATGCCCTGTGACAAGGCTCAGCCCCCATCCCATGTGACTCAGCATGGGTCCAGCTGTAGGAGGGACTGGGAAGTTGCAAAAAGTTAATGACGTTCTCTCTTTTTGGAGCACTCAGCTTAATGGAGCGTCACTCAGTGGTTTCCCCACCCACCCCCGGAGTAGCAGCTGCTGGGGCTGGTATCAGCCTCCTCTCATGGCAGGGCTTTTGGTCAGGATGACTCAGGTCACCCTAGGCACTGTCCAAGCCTCGTGCCACAGCAGGTCCTCCTGTCCCAGGGGATGCTTGACAGGTGACATGACCTGGGAAGGACACGCAGAGCCTGTGCCAGTGGCACATGGCAGCTGGGCACACGTGAGCCAAGCCCTCAAGCCCTGGCCAAAGGCAGGGACAATGACAAAAAAGGACACAGGAACCAGAATGTTTTCTTGGTGTGGTGTGCCCTTTTGTCAAAAATCCTTTGTGCCCTGAAGCAAAGTGAAGGGTTGAATTTTGATGGTTTCCCATTCAGTTGTATGCTGTTGGAAATATATTAATTTTGTAGCTATTGTTCTTTATGTCAGCTTCATTTTCACTCTACTGCTATTTGCTTCTTTTTTTTTTTTTTTTTTTTTGACTGGTTATTGTAGATTAACATATCCTTTCTGTTTAATAACTTACTTTCTCATTTATTTTGCACTCATTTACTTTTGGCTGACTTTGGGTTTCTGCCTAAGGACTAACACAACAAGGCTGAGTGTAGTGTAGTGTCATTACTGGTCCAAACAGACCACTGAAGTTTTCCAGGTTGGACTGCCACAGAAATAAAGTGAAACAAAGCATTTTGAACTAGAGGTCTTCTTTCAAGTCAGAGGGGTTTTCATTTGGATCAAACAAAGCCTTTCAAGGTAGGGAAAACCCAGTAGATCCCTATCAGTCCCTTCCCTGTATTGTAGTCAGTCAGAGTGTTTAACCATGATCTCTTCCAGCCTCTTTCCTCTCATGTCCACTTGAGCCAGGATCACCTGAAGTACGGGAGATGCTGAACAGATAAATAAAAGAAGGAATCCATGCTCTGCACAGTGCTGGAAAAGTAAAATAATTTCTGGGATTTTAATATTTTGCTCTTCCTTCCCTCCCCCCCAGTTTTTGTTTAAAATCTGTAGAACCAGTTCCCCATCCTTTACATCTGCGTGTACGGCCGGGACTGGATATTAGCATCTCCGTCATACTTGTTTCCTGCCTAAAAATTATGAACCACCCTATTTGTATATTTATAGTTTAAAATAATGGCAAGAGAAGGTACAGACTTTTTCCTCCTTTGCTTACAAACGTACAGTTTTTCTTTGAGAGGTCTTGCCAAGAATGAAGACCGTAATATTAACTGTATTTCACAAACACATCACAAGTTGTATCTGCAAGCATCTTTAGAAAGTTTCAGTCACTGCTGCTGAGTAGGCAGTGATGGTAAACTCAGGCATGCACCCTGAGTAAAACTTCCAGCTGTGATGGGATGGATCTCTCTCTAGAAAGCAAAACATTTGAAATAATGGATCACACCTTCCAGTCATTTACTGTGGCGGTGAGGTCCTTTATTGTCAAAGAAACCCTGAAGGAAGAACCTGTTTGCTTGAAGAAAGTAGCAATTCTCTTTTGAGTTTGTTTAAATTATTGTATTATATCAGGCTTAATTGTGCTTATGTGTTTCCTTGCCAGGTTGTCCAGGGTTTGGTGGTTGGGAAACTTGCTAGTCGCTGCTCGGAGATGACCCTGCTCAGACTCAGCGTCTTCGTCTTTGCCGGCGTGGGCCTAGGCATGGTAAGTGGCCTGGGAAGTCACCCACAATGCCTTTAATAACGTCACAAGCAGTGACACAAGGTCTACGAGACCTGGCTGTGAGCTCTGCCCCTGGAAGTGCCACCTCTGGCTCTCTCGGGTGGGCTTCAGGGCAAGGCAAACCAGCTCTCCTGGGCCTCTGCGCAAACAGAGCCGCGCTCAACGTCAGCATTGCGCCAAGCCGTGATAAAGAGCCGTGTGAGTAATAGTTATGGGGATTAAAAAATATATTAATCTTGCACAGAAACTCGCTAAGTCCCTCCTGAGTCACCGGATTTGCACAGAAATCCTGGCCTGGTCTTGTCAGCGACTGCATTTCCTGGACTACCCAGAAAGTAAATGAAGATTACAGTGGGGAAAAATCATTGCAGTTGTATATTGCAGTGAGAAAACAGAGATTGTGCACTTTCCTTCTGGGGCTTTATTTTTGTCTGATCCTCCAACGTTGGGGAGGAGGTAGCAAGGCAGTAATTTTGTTCCTCCATTTTGGGATAAATGATGTTAGCTGTTGCTGGTTGCATCTGCATGGGCGACGGTTGATGCCAATCTCAAACAGTAATTGGAAAACTGAGTGGATGTAGGTAGCTGTGCTGGGAACTGTGTTTGCTCAGATAAGCCACATTCAGGGCACTGATAGCTCTGCCCAGCCCATGGGGATGGAGGAAAGGTGCTTACAGTCCCTGTCAGTGCAGTGGACCCAAAGGCTGCATCAGCCTTTCAACATTCCCTGCAGGATTTGGCCTTGAGCCTTGCTGCCAGGACGCTGGTGGTGCTCCCACTGCTGCAGGTAGGATGAGTGCCATTCCCACAACCGTACTGCAGCTGTGGGGAGGTCAGGGCCAAGTCCTGGAGGGTGTTGAGGTTTGTGGCTCCCAGCTACATGGATAAGGTGAGGCACCTACACACCTTAGCTAATCTGAGGCTAAATCGTGTCTGAGATGAGGCTGAAGGGAGGATGGGTGTAGACCAAGAGTTGGCTCTGCAGATGGAGCATGGTCCCTCTCCCTGAGGTTTTTTGAGGCTCCAGGGGATTCTGTCAGGTGTAAAATGCTTTGGAAGGGTCTCTTCCAATTGCTCTTTGGGAAGAAATATGCCCCCTTAACATGGGACACCTGCACAGAGCTTTCATGCTCCTGAACGTGGCCTGGGAAGGACTTTCAAGGGCTCCCCATTGTTTTTTGGTCACGGGTGGGAGCAATTAGGTGGGACCAAGGTGGACCTGGCCCATCTGGAGAGATGAGCACCCCCAGCCAGGTTCAGGGCAGGTGTTGCTGGGACTCAATCCCTGTACTGAAGCACAGTCCCATGGGAATCAGGCAGAGCAGCAACATGAATTATATGGGTTTTGTGCACTGAGGTGTCACTGGCCTCCAGGGAAGGCTAGAGTCAGGTGAAGGTAGGGGAGAAAGCCTCGGTGGCAGTGGAGAGGCACAGGGGGCAGCACAGATGTCCCAGTGCAGGAAGGCTCACATTGGCTGCACAGGGAGGAGAACCGGGAGCCAGGAAGGGAAATCATCTTAGAGCTGCTAATTATGCCAAGCCCAGAGGGCTGTGGACATCCTAACAGCACGGGCCTGGGGACAAGGGTCAGCAGTGACTTCCCATGAGAGCTATTCATAGGCAAATGCAGCTGGGATGCCTTGTTGAAAAGTGCTCTGTCCAAGTGGCTGCCAAGAACACATCCGCTTCTGCGGTGGCTTTCTGTCTCAGTGGGGACGAGTGCTGTCACAGCAGCAGCCCCAAATGCAAAAGTTATTGGGTGAAGCTTTTAATCCTTCACAGCTGCTGGTGGAGGAGCGTCCCACCTGCTGTGCCCTTGCAGCATGTGGCCTCCAAACACAGCAATTCCTCCCTCCCCAAAGGATGGAAGTGAGGAGAAAGGCGAGTTGTTAATAAAAGACACTCCAGAACCCATCCTGATATCACAGGGAGGGGAGGTGGGCTGGAGCTTTTGGAGGGCTGGCACAAGCAGCAGCAGACAGACACGCTGCAGCTGGGAAGAGGCTGCAGGATATTCTCAGCAACAGGCAGCTGGAGAAGGGAAGGGGTGGGCTGGGAGTTCGGCAATAACACCTGGATAAGGAGAGGAGGGAAGAACCAGTGTCTGATCTGCAGATGTGAGCTGGGAGAGCGTGGGCAGGGCTGTAGGAGGGCTTGGCAGCTGCGATGGGGAAGTTTTTCCCCTTGTCTGAAGGCACGGCTGTACCTCATCCTGCCTGCATTTCCCAGGCATTTGTTTCTCGAGTTGTCTGCTGAAACTCCTGATTCTGCCTCTCACCTAAAAAATGCTTTCAGATCTTCTTACCTCAAAAAACTATTCACCACCCAGCAGCTGAGGGGAGTAGCAAGGATTGGGCTCTGCCTGGCTCCGTCCTCCCTCAGCCCCAGGGAAGTGAGGAGCCATTTCCCCTTGTTTTACAGGAGACACAAGATATGCCTCTTCTCTTTTCTGCTCACTTGCTCCAGCCCATGAGGGAGTCTGTACAAAGCAGGAGGGATTAAAACTGATATTTTCTATAAGCTCCGCAGTGTTGTCCTGCAATGACATTTGCCCTAGCAAGGAATTACTCTCCTTCCTTTTGTTTATGTACCAAATACCTGTTTCTCTGTCTTTGTTTTCTGGTTCCTTAATCAGAAGTGCCTAGATCTTAACCAAAATGTAAGCAAAGAGCCCCTTTGAGGAGAAAAACCTGGCTGTGTGTAACTCTAGAGGGGAACTAGGAATAAACCTCAACATTTCCAAGTCATTAGTGAGCAATGTCTCTGGGTTCCTCCATCTTCTGTAGCCGAGAGGCAGGGACCAGATCTTAGGACAGAGAACTCCAGAGAATGAAACTTCTGGCTAAACCAGTGACAGAAATATTTTCCAGCCACAATAACACACCTTGAGACATGGATTGGGGCAGAAGACTTGCAGTAAAGGGGGAATTTCCTTTCTATGCCCCAGAGAAATCCATTCATTTGACCAGCAGGGCTTGTGAATGAGCTGGGAGCCGCTCCAGCCCTACAGCTTAGGGAGCCTCACCGCTTTTGTTTCAGCATTAAACAGCTGGAGGGATGTCTCCGCTAAGAATATGTGCAATAACAAAATCATTACTCTCCCTAATTATGCTCGCTAATGTGCACTCATGGCCAGAAGACCTATTCCAGATTACTGAATTTGGTGAATTTATTAGCAGGGAAGCAGCAGAACAGGATTAGAAATCCCAAAGGTACGGTGTTACATAATGCACCGTGCTCATTTATTTTGACAGGCTCGGTTTAGTTTTAATTATTTATGATAATGAACCAAAAAGCCTTCTCTAGGCTGTTTTGTATAAGTAATGGAAGCTTCCTGAAGTACACCACATACATCTGCTGTTCAACATTTCCTCAGGAGTTGGACAGAAGACAGAAGACAGGGGGAAGGGACGTCACTAATTCCCAAATGCTAAAAATACCCACAGCAGTGCGGGGAAACGTGCTGCCAGATTGTAGGGTATCATTTGCTCTGCATGCTTGGAATAATTCACTGCAGACAAATGGCCGGCTGTGAAAGACCCCACAACAGCCAAAGCCATGTATCATTTGTGGCTCCCACCATTTCCCTAAGTCATGGGTTTGACTCGTGATTTTCCTCTAGGTTGTTTGTTGCCACAAAGTCACCGTTTGTGCTCTTTAATGATCTGTGGTCTGTTGTGTCCTGTCCCTTAGGCCCTGATGAGGACGGTGTGGCACTACTGCATCATTGCAGCACCGCTGGTGTTTGCCTTCAGCATGCTGGCCACCATCACTGACAGCATCCTCACCAAGGCTGTGCCCTCCTCCGACACTGGTAAGACTCATCAGAAAAGGTCAGACTGGTATTTTCTCAGCTGTGAGCCCATTGGGCACTTCCCAGCTCCCACCACGGCTGTGGAGCACTGGGTGAGCACCCAGATCCAGGCGGGTGCACGATGGGTGTCGGCAGAGCAGATGAACAGAACTGCTGGGGCTAATACAGCATGGACTTGAGCAGCCTTGGGCAAGCATCCCACGACCCAGTGCTCCCAGTCCTGTGCTGCCTGCTGACATCCATAGTGGTGGGCACAGAAAGGGAAGGCTTTCTCAAGCTGTCTTTTCCACGGAAAGCCAAGGTATGTTAAAAACCCCAAAAACCACTGCCCTTCCACTGTGACAGTGTCAGAAAGGGCTGCTTGTTCACATCTTTTAACTTAGGTATTTCAGAAAGTGATTCTGGATTACTCTTTGCAAACGTGCTTTGCCTGATGCAATAATTGCCCCCTCTCTGTTTTGGCCTTGTTTTAGAAGAGTTTCTGTATTTCTCTGTGCAAGACAGCAGTGGTAGACACTTAAATCTCTATACCTGGGGCTTTAGTTCTGTTGATGAAGGAAATATGCCTACATTATTGTCATGGGAGCCTGGCTGAGTTTGTGCAGGGATGGAGCTGGCTTAACCTGGTTTGTGTCTTTTGCTCAAGCCCTTTCAGGGTTTGCTGCCAGAGCAGGTACTCAAGAGTGTCTCTGCTTTAGCTGAGGCTTTCTAGGATGCCAGTCTGCACCCTTCATCTTCCCTAGCAGCTGTCTGAGCAGATACCTCTACACAGACCCTACCAAGAATGGGAGCTGTAGTCTGCACAGCCTGCTAGTGAAGTTTATAAAGCACTTTTGAGATGTTTCTGGGTGAAGAGCTTTTCTGAAAATCACTTGAGTAGTTTATTTGTAGAGCTGGCCCACTACATCTCCTACAAGTGCTGGTAGCCTGTGATTTTCAACTGGCATATTTCCACCTGCAAGGACCATTTATCCCCAGTCTTCACCTCCGTGGGAAGAGTCTCAGCCCCTCTGTTCAGCCAGGGAGAAAATTTGCTGCTTCATGTCTTGGAGCAATGTTCATGTGAGGGAGAGCCAGCAGGGAAGGGCACCAAGCGGCTTTGGGACACACAAGCAAGCTGGAATTTATCCAGGCTCTTCTCAAAAGGGTTTTGTGAGGAAAACCAGAGCAGTGCTTAGCTTTTGGAGCCCGGAGGCAAGCTTTGGTCAGGGAGGAAAATGGGTTTAATTGCCTCACCCTGCTCCCTGCTTGCATATATTGTTAGGCCAGCCTGTGCCTCGGCGGGATGGATGGTCTCCCCTTGTCAGGGCAGGATGGAGGCAGGCTGCAGAGCTGTGCAGATGCTCAGGAGCAGGCTGCAGGTCATCAGGGGATGCCATGGGCTACTGAGGGCTTTCCCCTGCCTATCCATCCTGGGCTGATGTCATGCCTAGTGCTGCTACAAATGCAGAGCTACGGCTGGCTCAAAACTGGGCATACCACAGAGGGACGCTCTGGCACAGAGCACTGTGGCACTGGGGGGAAACCTTGTCTCTGCCACTCCTTCCTGGCCCACACCTTTCAAACTGTGCTTTTCCTTGCAATATTTCTGGGGGGAAAGGTGCTAATGGTCCTGTGCTTGTTTTGGATGTACCCAGGCAGGGGCCGGGGCGAAGGCAGGAATGCCTGACGCAGCAGAGCCAGCAGGCTGCCTTTCCACAGCAGCTGCAGCAGTGATGGCGTGGGTGTCTCACAGAGAAATGCAGCCATTAAAATGCCTGCCATCCATCCCTGGCCGTGGGTGGCACCCCGCAAAGGCTACTCCACCCATACAGCAGCCTAAAGGCTGCTCCTTCCTCTGTGAGCCTGAGACTGGCTCTGCAAAGAGAGGTTTTTGGTGGCACGTTAGAAACCCTCACCACGAGTGTGGAAATCTGGTTTTATGAAAAAGTTTTCCTATCGCTGTGTTGAAAACCTCAGCACTCACTTGAAACAACTTTTAGCTAATGCAAGGAAATCACATATTGAGAATTTGCCTTTGGAAGCATCACTTCTGAGCCTTGCTGCTGTCTTTTGCTGATGTTTTTGGTCAGCTTCCAGCCTGTAGAAGCAATGAGGGTTTGTTCTTTGGGTCAGGAAAAGGCTTTCTGAAGGAGCTGGAGTTTGGGCTGAGCTCAGGTGTCCATCTCAGCACGGGGCTGGGATGGATGGGGCGTTGCAGGAGTGTAGCCTGTCCGCCCTTGCTAGACACTGAGTCACCCATCCTTGCATTTTAAATAGGCGTCTCAGAAAGGGAGCAGTGGGAGGTGGCACGGCACCATCCCTTGCACCCATCAGCCTGCTTTAGATCCAATCCAAGGTCACTTCCTTCCGAGACTGATGCATTTGCCACTTGCTCTTTGCTTGCTCTCAAAGCTCAGGCTTTGCGCAGAAGCAAAGGTAGCAGTAATGATTTAATTAGTTTCCCTTTGATTTTTTTTCCCCTTCTCTTCATCTTCAAAGGCAGGAAGAGCAAATTCAGCCCCACACGCACATGCTGCTCAGCTGGACGCATGAGCTGGTGGGAGGGCAGCCCGGAGCCCAGGGGGACTTGCATTCACACAAGCACTCCTTGTCAACCCTGGTCCTTCCCCAAGAATGGAGGTCTTGTTCCTGCACAGATCCCCCCGTTCCTGAGGGAGGGAGGCAGGAAGCCCAGCGGAGCCTCCGTGCGTAACGGGCCCATGTGTCCTGATTTTATTTGTGCATCAGAACCTGAGGAGGAGAGTTTGCAGCCAGGCGGGGCTCGGGGCACTGAACCCCCCAGCTTTGCTGGAGCTTTGCAGGTTCAAAGGCGGCCGCTGGCGACAGTGACCTAATGGTTAAACCCGATTGCCCCATGGGCGTGTGGCTGATGCGGGCCAGCACCATCATCTGAGCGAGGCAACAGGATGTGAGCTGGAAAGGAGTCGCCGTCTTGGAGAGCCGCCAGCACCCAGCCCTGAAACCTGCGGGAGCACAGGAGATCTGGGATGGGAGGGGAGGATAGGCTCCCAGCCGGCACGGGTCATGCCAGGAATGGGGAAAAGGAACGGAAAAAAAGCTGGAGAGGGAGAAAAAAGAGCAGGGAAGGTGCAGAAGGTGAGATAGCTCTGACAAAGAAGGTGAGCATGTGCGTTGGCAGAGCGGCACGAAGCAATGCAGGAAATTTTCTGGTGAGGCGGTGACTCGTCCCAGTTAAAGGTCTTGCCTTAAATGAGATCTATCACATGTGCAGCTTTGCCACAGAGATACGGCCGTGCTGCAGAGCTGAGATTTACAGTGTCCCAAAGCCTGAGGGCGTCTGACGAGGGATCTAATTTAAGCCCATTAAACAGAAATTATCTTTCTCAGCAACATGTTGGAGAAGTGCAGAGAGAGAGCCCGGGCTTTTAAAACGATGGTTTCTGCTCCAGAAAAAAAAAAAAAAAAAGGAAAGGGAAAAAAGTGCCTCCTCAATCATAAGAGCCAGTTTGGCAATTGCACGTAGTAATTAGTTTAATTCAAATACCTAGAGGGGGAAAAATAATTGCAAAACCTGCCCAGAGAGTTTGGTGGTTGTGGGATGGTTCCCATTGGCAAAGGGTCAAGGCAAGGTCCCACCCATCGCCTTTGTGTTCCCATGCGTGGGAGGAGCGCTCGGCAGCGCTTCCCGGGAGATTTCCCTCTCCACATGGCTACACCCTTGGCTTGGGCTCATTGCACAAGTATTTTAAGCACGCTGATAAAAGCCCAGCAGTCGCTGCCCGGCATTACACGAACACCTGGCTGCCTGTCCTCTCTGGGAGCTGGGGATCATTTCCCCGTGGCTGCCCACGTTAAACATCACTCCTGCTCCACTTCTTGAAAACAGGACAGCATTCTCCTCGTCCTTCCTGGCTGTGTGGTGACAACACCTGGAAAACTGATGCCAGCAGCCCAAATAATCATACTGATAGTAAAAAAATAATTGCAAACATCATTTCAGAGCTGGGCACGAGTTTATTGAATACACTGCCAGCTTGCTGTTCCTCCCAGTGTTGGGGGCTAATGATTTGCTGGCTGGCCGGGTATTTTCTGCTCCTCTGGACATGACAGCTGTCCTGAACAAAGACTGCAGGACAAAAGAGCATACTGGGTGTGTGTGGGACAGCCTTGTGTCCCAGAGGATGTCCTGGCCCTCCGTCTGCACGTGGAAAAAAACCTCGCCTTTGCCAAAGTGGAGGTGCTTCCCCATCCGCTGGGTTCCTGTTAAGGATGCAAATGTGGGAGCTGCTGGAGGGGGAACCGGCCCAGCCGGGCAAGGGCTCGCATATCCATCCAAATGGAAATATCCACTCTTCTTGCACAGGGGCGTGGGGGAATATCTCAATATCTTTATCTGTGGTTTTATTTATTTATTCTTAAAGATCTACTTAGGCCTAACCCTCTCGGTCCTGCTAGAGAGCTGTTTCTCTGTTTCAGACTAGAGAATAAATGGCAGTACTAGCTTGGGTGGAGCAGGGCCCACTCAGGTAATTAGGAGGTTGGAAGAATCTGTGTGATTTGCTAGGAAGGCTCAAACATGACCCTAGAAATTACCTCTCCATCCCTAACCCCATGCAGTAGTTACCAGCCCTGCCAGGTGTGATATTCAGCAGCACCTGGTGCAAAAAATATCCCTAAACCCAGGTAAGCACCCACGTTGCCTTTTGGGCAGTGCTCAGGGAAGAGCTGAGCTGGCTCATGGTGGAAACTGGTCCCTGTGCCTGAAGGAGTCCCTAACCAGAACAAACCCTAATTGGACCGCTATAAATTAATGCAAGAAATTATTTTAAGTGATTTGCTACTACTGCAGGGGAGCAGCATCAGGGATGGAGGGGATCTTGCTGCTCTTCTCTGCTTTTCCATGCCAGGACTTGCTCTCACCCTGTGTGCCTCTGCCATCTCTCCTAGGTGCCATGCTTGGGATCTGTGCCTCAGTGCAGCCCTTTACCCGGACGGTGGGTCCAGCCATTGGTGGAGTTTTATATAAACAATTTGGAGTCTCCTCCTTCGGCTATTTACAGCTAATGGTCAATTTAGGTTTGTTTGTTTACCTCTTGAAGAGTAAAATCCCACTGGAAGAGATGAAAAGCCAATAATACAGTTGCAAGAAAGTAACCCCCTTATTTTTCCCATAGAAATAAATTCTTGAGGGTTTTTTTGGTTCTGTAAATCTAGAATAAAACAATTTGAACAATCCTTCCAGTTTGTCAATATTTGCCTCTAGAGTAAGGGACAGATCAGTTTGCAAAGGTCTTGGAGCCATGTTGGAGCAACTGGGGGCCATGGGACCCCTGGAGCTATCAGGTTCCTCCCATTAACCCCCCCTCAGCAGTGGCCTGTCATGGCAGGAAACAGCCCCCAACCCTCAGCTGTTGTCAGGCAGCATTCCTTCTTGGATTCACTGAAACTGAAGGGATTAGGAGCCAGTGCCTTTGCTCCGGTTTGGCCTTTTATTTCAGCGCTCTGAAGTGGCACCAAGAAAAAACGGGGGGTAAAACACATCTGCTTTTGAGCGTTGTTTTGCTATATTAAATGCTTCTCCAGCATTCTCAGGTTAGAGGGACACTGAGGCCAAAGGCTTTCAAATGCTGTGGCCAGAGGTTTGTTACATCCACAGCTCAGTCATGTGCAACCCTGGCTGTGCACGAGCTGCCAGCAACAAGCAACGAGGATGCAAAGTCCCTACGTACCAGGCTGCAGTGCCAGAGCCTCCCTGCCACTTCCAGAAACTGGGCCAACCCTCCTTCCAGGTTTTTTCCCCTCCCTGTACTGAGTATCTCTTGCTCTTACTACAGGCTTACGTAATTACATACTTTGCAACTTCTTCTAGTACAAAGTCTCCTGCAAGAATTGCGTGATATTGGGAAGGGGAAATTACCTGCTGGAAATGACCAAGTTTGGAACATGTACTTTGTGTGCTACGCTCACAGTCCTGACTGGCAGAATTGAGTCGCGTGTGCTGCAGCATTGCTCTTGAGGAAACCCAGGTTAGTTATTGAGAATTGAGCCTCACAAAAAAAAAAAAAAAACAAAAAGAAAAAAACCCAACACTTCAGCACTTTTATCCAAAAAATCAGCTAATTTTTCTCCAAGTTTCTTGGTCCAGGTGATATGGGAAAAGAGCCTGCCTCCATTCATCAGTTATCCTGGAGAAATTTAACTCTGTCTAGAGACTGCAGAGGTGAAGGAAGAGAGAGAAGCGAGTTCAGCTTGCTTTGCTACAAAGCTGAGGAATCCATGGAGCGTTGGCGCTCTTATTCCGAAACCAGGAATCCAGTTTTGTGCCTTAGCCCAGCACTAAGCTATGGGGGCTGGGAGGACGCAGGGCGTTCGCAGAGAGCAGCATTTTCCCATGGCAGGGAGCTCCTGCGCCTTCTGCAGCTGCCATTACTGCATTCTGTGGAAGGAGCTTCCAGAGGAGCACTGCTGCAAGCTGTGGTAGGCTTTTATATCTCCACCACTGACCAGAACTGAACCTCAACACATTTTCCCTCCCTGGATGGGAGACAAGGTCAAACACAAACAGGTTATCTGGGCCTTCTCACCTCCCACTGCCCAGTCCAGGGCACCAAAAAGCCAAGCCTTACCCATTCTTTTTAAGCCACTTCACCACTGCCTGTATGCACAGATATGCCTCAACAAAAGTCACTGCAGCCCAGAGTACAGTAATAAAAAGTGAACATTTCAAGTAATTTATTTGGAATGGACACATTAATGCAAAAGCAATATTAAGACCAGTAACTGCTGAAAGACATTCAACAAAATAAATACAAATATAGATACTACAAATAATTTAAACTGTGTTTAACACCACCAGTCAGTGTTGAATCTTCCTTGCATCTCATAAATAGAAGATAATAGTTCACAAAGCTGTGCCACTCAAAACACGTGGACGCTTTGCTAGAAGTCCTGTACGAAAGTCTTTGGTTTTTCTTTATGCATCTCAGGCAAAGCTCAGGGCTCTTTGCTCAGCAGCCACAACGGGCTTGGAGAAAACCAAGCTGCTTCCAGCTCTTCTTCTTTGCTTTCCTTCATTGGTACCCTGTCCCATTTCAGTCCAAGACACTCTGGTTTATCATCCAGTGGTATGCTCTAAAGGTAGCAAGAGGAAGTGGGTTAGTTAAACAAGCAGCACAGCAAAGCACAGGGGGAAAAAAGGGGGGGCTTTAAAGGGAGAATAAGCACTGAGCATTTATTTTCACAGATATATTTTTTTTTTAGCAGATTCTGTGAGGAGAGCACTGCCAAGTGCCATTTCTTATTGCCCGCCACCCCCCACCGTCCTCTCAGCACACGGCAGAAGCGCTGCTCCCACCAGAAATTCCCCGCCAGGCACCGAGAAGGGGCCAAGCCCCCGCGGTGGATCGGGACGGGGCCGGCCCGCAGAGCCCCTCGCTGGCCGGCCGGGCACCGCGGGTCCCGGAGGGAGCGCGGGGCGGGCGCCGGGCAGCGAGGAATCGGAAAGGATGAAGCGGAAAGCGCAGGAAGCGCGGCGGCGGCAGCGCCGAGGGCTCGGGCGGGCTCACCTGGGCCGGGGCGGGCGGCTCAGGGCGCCCGGGCCAGCCGCCGCTCCTGGGTGCCCGCCGCCTGCTCCATCTCCTGGCGGCTCTTGAAGTCCTGGATGGCCCGCTTGTTCTGGAAGTCGATGAGGGCCATAGTGATGGAGGCGTTCCAGCAGCTCTGGTCCGGACACCGAAAGTCAATCTCCTTGCGGTCTTTGGTGACGATGGTGAAGTAGATGTACTTGCCCGTGCGCTCCACGCAGTCCACCTTGAGGATGGAGCCGAAGCCCAGCTCCTTGCCCTTGGCCCGCTTGTGCCCGTCGGGGAAGAGACTGAGGCTGTCCTTGGTCAGCACCACCAGCTTCTTCTTCCACAGCTGGAACAGGCTGTCGCTCCGCTTCTCCAGCTCGCCCTCGCGGATCACCTCGGCTTGCATCTTCATCCTCGCTCCCCGGCGGAGGCTCCGGCTCCTGCTCCGACTGCTGCTCGGGCGGCGATGACCGAGCCTCGCCGCGATGGGAACAATTTATTGCAATGAATCAGCGCCGGGCGCCTTCCGGTGCCTCCCCCGGGGAGCCCGGCCCGCCGNGCCGCCCGCGCCGCCGCGCCCGCGGGGCTGCGCCGTGAGGGCGGCGGGACGGGGCCCGAGACTACGGGGGCGTCCTGCGGGCTGCCCCGGGTGGGAAGGCTGTGAGGAGGGGGTGCAGCGCCGAGGGCTTCCACTCTGCTGCTGCTGCCCAAGGAGGGGCCCCCGTCCTGTGTGCCCGCTCCCCTCCCCAGCCGCGTTCCCTCTGCCCGTCAAGGATCGCCCTCCCCTCCGCGGTGAGGATGGGGCCATTGTGATCTGAGACAGCCCCCATCTCGTCCTTCTGAGCACTCCCTGCCACTTCCCACATCCCAAATGGGGAATAGGATGCTCCCAACACTGTTCCTAGCGGCCTGGTCTGGGCATCTTCACAGCATTGGGTCTGCCCTGGCATCATCTCTGTCTGGGACAGAGGGGCCCGAGCCAAGCCCAGGGTGGGTTTCTGCCTTCTCCCATGGATGTCTGCTCTGAGTCCAGCCCCTGGTCACCCCAAGAGACACAGCCAGGCCCACCAGCTTCATTTGAGGCCCTGCATCCCGCCAGCTCTGCACCATCACCATCAGCCTTTGTCCTTCCTGAGGGCAGCCCACCTCTCCAGTTTTGCATTAACACTGCTTCTCCTTATTTTCATCCCCTACAATCACTGGGCTGATCCCATTTTCCCCCCTAGACCATTCCTCCAGGGAAGGCACCACAGTTATAGCCCGGGCCGTGTCCAGCGCCACGGAGAAGTCAGGAAAGGCTGTGGCAGCTGGAGGTGATATTTAAGAGGCACGTGTGAGCCTGCAGTCCCTTCCTCTTGGACACCTTTCATTTTGTCACTCCTCCACGATAGTTGACACAGGGCTGATCCAGCTTCCCAGCCAAGGGCAGGGCTGTGCTTAATGAACTTGTTCACGCTGTTTCTCCAGCAGTATTTGCTCAGGTATGCGCCATGTGCAGCATCACCCTTGGACTTTGAGCGCTGCTCTCCTCCCCGATGACCGGCACCCCTGCCGGTGTGTGCAGGCCAAACCGCAGAGGTGAGCTTACCGAGCAGGGCACGGCCCCTCTGAAGAGGCTGGCAGCACTCCCAGGGAGGCAGCAGGGTCAGCAGCCCATTTCCAGGGAACAAATCAGAGCTGGAGCCAAACCCATTTCCGCTGCAAATCACTCCTCTGGAGTACAGGGCCAGGCTTTGATAATCCACTGCAGCGTGCACATCTGTGGGGAGGGTCAGAAAAAAGGTGGGGGCTGTGTGATGCTCCTGGGGTTGATGAATGAGCCAGGAACGGTTTGGCTGAGCTTTTCAGGGAGGGATGGGCTGGGAATTGCTCTGGGGAGACCACAGTGGCCATCCCTGCTTGTGGGGTAGGGCAGGGGCTGCAGAACATATGTGGGGCTGTGACCTGGCGTGTGAAGAGCTGCAGGCTCTTCCCTGAGCGCCAGCACTGTATCTCACTTTTCAGTGTGATTTATTTTGTTTCAGTGAGGGGAACAGCCCAGTCTGATTTACAATTAGGCTGTTAATCTACTTTTTCAGGGCAGATGCTGGTCTGCTCTGTAAAACCACTTTCTGACCAAAAGGCCCCATAAAAATAAGGGAGCTGGAGCCAACCAGGAGCAGAGCTGGAAATTAAGCAGAAATCAATAGGATATTTTCAATTTGGCCCCAAAATGAAACAGGGAATGGTCTTTGTGCACAGGAAATGGGACACCACTTCAAAAAGAGGGAAGAAAAAAAAAAAAACCAAAATAACCCCAACAGGCAGCAAGTCAGGAGCATACAAGGAACATCTGGAGGAAGGCTCCTGGTGTGGAAAGGCTGCAGGACTTGGCATGTTTGTGCACACCTAGCTTCAAAAGTTCCAGTAAGAGAACCAGAATTTCCTTTTAAATGAAACTTGTATCTGTAGATGCAGGGTCAGAAGACCACTTTGGTCTCTGTCTTTCTGCTTTTGCTTTCATCTGGGTGATTTTTCTTGTGCATTTATCCATCATTTTGAAATATTCAAAGCTTCCCCCACCTGTCACCTCAGTAAACTTGCCTTAATACTGGCCAAATCAGAAAACTGCTAGGGGAAAAAAAGGGGGGGAGGGAAGTGAAAAA